GCCCCGGATAGAGGCAAATGTAGGTCGTTGGTGATGACTTACCCTGTGAGGCGCCCGAAGAAGCCGATGCACGGCGGCGAGCTGGTTGATGAGCGGCAAGGTCGCGCTGAAGGTGTGATCGGGTGGGTTAACATCCGGATAGAGGGTCGCATAAGTGAACGGATCGACGTCGTTGAGGTACTGCACTTGGCACGTGAAAAACATCTGGCGATACATCTCTCTGGCCGCCGCCGCCGCCGCCGCTGGAGACGGCCGGGAGGCTTTTCGCTCGCGATTCTTCGTCCCCCGAAAAGGATATCGTCCAACCCCACCCCCACCCCCGCCCGCCCCCTCTCACGTGCACACGAGCGTGTGTGCACGCCGTGGCGCACTCACGCGATGCCGCGAACCGGTTCGTCGTACCCGCCGATTTATTTCGATTCGATCTGCTGGAACGAGAAAACCAAAAACGCTCTTTTACTCGTCGTTCTCCCGCGTTACGCTCGATTGGCTCTCGGAGGCCTTTAGCCCTAGCCGAGACCTCGAAATGTGACGTCGATATATTTTATGTTGACGGATTGCTCAGAGTAGAAAGGCGCGAACGATCGTTAACTTTGCTCGAAATTTGCTTGCTCGACAATTGGATTATTCGTAAAATTTTAAAAAGAGAGAGAGACTTTTCTGCTTTTTCTTTCTAAATAGATAAATAAATAGTATATAGAACAAAGAAGAGAGAGAGAGAGAGATTCTTCTTAATTGGAGCACGGATGGAGACAATGTGAAGATTTAAAGTTTTAGTCGGCCGCTCCAACTTTCTTACGTCCTTGTTATTTCGCATGGTTTCCCAGTCACATGGTTGTTAGATCACGACCAACGATCATGTATGCGCGCGCGTGTGTGCCAATCTACGAATCCGTCGATCTACCAGTTCTTGCGCTTTCATTTTCCGAGCAATCCGCCGATCGACCGTGGAGAGGCACGTAGGAAACGCCGCGACAGAAAGCGCGCATAAAGTACCCGAGAAAGTAGCAACGTTAGAATCGTAACGACCTATGACTGCAGTCATCATCGTTAATGCAACCGGTGTTCACGTCGTTTTCAGACGGACGTTGACCTTCGAGTTTCCTTTCACCCGCTTATCGATTTGTTAACTCAAAGGCAGAAAAGCAGCGGCAACGTTCTCATGGCTTCATTCAAGGCTTTTGCGAGCATAATTGAGAAACATTTGTTATTTTACGCATCCTTTTCGTCTCTCTTGCGTTTCTGCACTTTACACATATCTCACATGTGCCTCTCTAATCAATTATGATCAAGAGATATAATATGTTGGTCGTTATTATATCGATAGCTTGGGAGATTTACCGGATATCATTAAAATTCTAATTTTCCTGTTTTTTTTCATTCGAATAAAACAAATACTATCTCGCGATCTTTCATAAATAAGAGCGTAAAATTACTAACTCTGTTGTAATAAAGTTTTATGTAGAAAATTACAAGTTGAAGTTTTGATAATTAATAATCAATTCCTTCGGAATAATCAAAATGTAAAGGATACGTTTCTTCCAATTAGACGAGGCGTCTTTGAACCGGCTTATCGACACACAATAGCTTTATCTCGCGAGGTTCATAACCGTCGGGATTGCTTCGACCACCTAACGGCTATCCAAGTATTAGTAGCATTCACACATCCGCTGGCAGACTTTACATAAAGTTCGACGTCGTGGAACCTTGTAGCTACCCGACGCGGTAAAAACTTCGCTTGTATCCGAGCGTAAAAAATCTAAATCCCTAGTCCTACAATCTTTTACACGGAGCGCAATACCGGACGCATTTTCTGCCTCCGCTGTAACGTGTCGCGTTATTATACCGGGTGCTCGCGAAGAACTCGCCGCGGCGACTTCTGAAAATATGCGTCGCATACCGGTTCTCACGCGTCTGCACCGCGACGTTATATGTATCCTTTCGAAAACATTACATTATCAGGCAACGATTTTGCGCCTCTAAGTACATCGGGATAAAAATAAACGAGGATACTTGTGCGCGTTTTAGTCAGATACTCTGGCTATTTTATTCCACGACGTGTCTCGATATCCCACAAGCGAGGAATGTAAATCGAATTGCGCAGCTGGCGCCTATGCGTGAGCTGATCTTTATTCACGCATCGCGGAATTCCTCGCGACATCGCGCAGAGACCTGGGAAAATCGGGCATGAAATAAATTCGCGAACTGTCATTATCAGTGCGTGTCGACTCGTCTCGTCATCTCTTCGCTCTCTCGCATTGTTCTTAGTCGCAAATGGACCAGCCCTTCCTCGAACCGGCTCGAGAAAAGAGACGGAGAAAGGACAGATAAAGAGTGGGCGAATGTGTGTGAAAGAGAGAAGGAGAGAGCGGAGGAAATGTCGAGGGGTAGACGGAGAGGGACAGAGAGATGAACGAAAGGAGAGGAAGCACGGTGCAGGATAGAAGGAGGGAGGGAAAGAGAGAGAGAGAGAGAGAGAGAGAGAGAGAGAGAGAGAGAAGGCAGGAAAGAGAGGGAATGACGAGGGGATGGTGAGGAAAAGAGGGAGTTAGAAGAGAAAACGAGTCTGCGCCATGCCACGAATGTAATCGCGGTTGTGGTCGACGAAAGATTCATGATCAAGATGCGATCGCGACGCGAGATCGAAGCCGCGAGGAGATTCCCAAACTCGCCTGAATCAACAAATCCGCCATGCGGAATGCTTTCCGCAGTATTCCGCCCTTTTCCCGAGCACGTGTTGCAACGCCGCGTGGAGAATCCGACTTTGAGAATATGATGATGTTTTAGCGCGCGCGCGGTATTTTATAGCGATGTATTTTGGTCGTCGCGCGGATTTCAATGTGTGACGTATCCCGGAGCGTTTGGCAGCACTGCATTTTGGAACGTCACGCTCGTGGAGACGCCGTGACGTCGAATCCACGAGTTTGTCCCTCGGTTTCGTCTCGCAGCGCTTCGGAACTCTCAAACGTTCCGTACTTCGCGAGAAGCAGCACTCAATTCTCCCCTCAACACGCTTGGTTCATTTCATCACCAATTCTTCAATACTGAAATTTCAGGGCATTGCCAGCGCTACGAATCGCTAAAGGAAGATGACAAGCGACTTTTCGAGCGAAGCCAATGACGCGCCGCTGCCGCCGCTTGTTTCCAAGTGAACTACATCATCGCGATCATCGCGTCGAAAATTTCGCACGAGGCAGACCTGAAGGTGAACGGCTGAATAAAAAACGTGACGGAGCAGCGAACGCTGCGAACCGGACCTATCGGCCGGTGCGCTAACTAACCTAACCTCCGAAATAAATAACGTCCTTCAGCAGGAGCGGCAGAACCTGTCGAGACGCGCGACATTCCAGAAAATTACTGATCCGGACGCCGAAACCGACCGACGTGCAAGTGCTCATGCGGAATTTATTTCAATCGGATCGTGTTCACGTCGATACGCGGAACAGCGTTAGTGGACGGTCCACAACATCACATATACAACCGTAGTACACAACGTTTAGGTGATCCCTTCTGAACAGTTATCGATAATAACGACAAAAATATTTATAAGCACTTATCTCGCGACACGAAGTCTTGTGACAATAACAAAAGGTTTCTCTTTTTTATGTTGTGTTTACGAGCGTAAGATACTTCAATTTCGAGGTAAACATCATGTTTCCCGCTTGAGGATCGTTTGAAGTCGGTGTAAGCTAACCTTATCTCTGCGCGCGACCTAATAGTAATTCCGCTGCTTCCACTGTTTGACATCGAATTCCCGATTCTTGGGGATCACGTTGACAAACAAGAACGACACACGGGGCAGAGTAGCGCGGAAAGCGTGCTCATACGTACCAAGTTTCCTCCACGACTTATGAATGAGAGATATCATCCATCCGCTTACTCGCACGTTCGTAGAGAAACTTTTCTCGAACGTTCCATGCTACCTGACTTTCTTTTGTACGACGCCGTGCGCATCAGCTCATGTTCTAACGAGGCTTCTGATTGGTCCGCTGATTCAATTCGAAAATTCGAGTTGACAAATCAGATTCCTGCGTGCCTCTGTCGCCAACGTCAGCGAGTACGGTCGCGCGGAGCCGTTGGGTCGAGGATCTGTCGAGCCTAGTCGTCAGCAAAGCAGCGAGGCTCTGCGAGGCGAGAACGAAAGGCCAGTCGAGAAGCGGCGGCTAGGTTAGGCCGGCGTTGCGCGAGATGAAAGTGCGCGGGGCAACCTGCGGAGTCTGCGCGAGGAAGGAGATACTCACCTCACGGGCGACAAGCGCGTGCCACCGACACGCGGACAGCGGGAACACCTCCGTGCCGGGAACGCGCGGGAATCACGGGCGTTGGAGAAGCTGGAGCACGGGCGCGCGACGACGCGTCGGAGAGACGGTGAGAGAGGGGGGGAGGGACGAGACGAATACACGTATATACGTTCACACGCGACAGGCAACGACGTGCCTTACCTCGAGAGCGGACGCGGCGACACTGAACGCGCTGCGGACACTTGTCGCCGCGCGACCGACAGTGCCGCCCCCGCGCGGCGGAGCCCCTCTCTCTCTCTCTCTCTCTCGTTCGTCCGCGGCGCGCACCCTGAATCGTACAGGTGCTTCGAATAGAACGTGATTTCCGAAGACGATATAAACTCGGGACTTGTTGACAGCTTCTTGTGCACTTCATCATACATTCGACTGCAACACGTTCGACCGTGTTTCGCGCTAGCCATCGTCCACCGGTGAGAGCTTTAATTTTCAGTCGTAAAAGTATATCTTTCGACCGGCAGGTTAACCTCAATCTCAACGCGCAGTGTAGCTGGGTTATATTCTAATAATAGGTCGCAAAACGGTTTAGACACAATGAACTTCAAAGCATAGTCGATGAATCAATGAGATAACTTATTTTTTAATAATTCGTTCTCTTATTGGATTACCAGCTATACTCTGATTTATTATGCCTAATAAACCATTTGCAGCGTACTGCACGCTTTATTGACTTATTATTCATTAATTATTCAAATAAACGATGTTCAGGGAACGATGCGTCGAATCAACAATCACTGCGACATATATCTGGAAAGTGGCGCGTCCAGGAATGGGAAATACATTCTTTTATGAAACATTGGTAAACATTGGCGTTTTGAGGTTACATTGGCGGGAGAATCGCCGACGACGAGCGATCTCGCCAGTATGAGATTATTCGATCAACGTTTAGAATGCGAGCGAAGGAGGTCATTGACTCGTCTACGATTTATTAACGATGTTTCGTATTCTGCCAGAGTGTATAAACTCCTCGGTCGATTTCAGGTTTCGTGTGTGGATCGGTGCTATGAGCAGACCGCATATATTAATGAGAATCATATCACAGAAGCACTCGTAAATAATTCATCGACCCGCTCTCGCGAGCGTTGTACACAGTAGTTATTTATATTTTCACGAGGCGCTATAGAGTTGCACGGTAGCGTTAGCACCCTCCCGCACAATGAACCTCCCATCACGTTTCTATAGACTCGCTATTCCCCTTTGTGCCATTCGTGATCCCTATGGGGACTCGTTGTAGCACGTAGTCGGCGGTATACGTACATACACACACGCACAGTCGTGTTTATGGTTTCATCTTTCGTATCGCGCAGGCTGATTATTTTTTCATCGCACAATTACCATCCCAGCCATTCCATCTGTTTCTCCCTCGGCGGGTCATTCTCCCGCACAAAATCCCTCGAGATGTTTTCGGTTTTTAGAATTGATTCAAGAAATCCTGGAAGATTCGACCAAAGTAATACTAAGCATCTTTAATAATTCGTCGCGAAATTGAAATGCCCATCGATTGAACAGCGCGACGTTATTTTACACCGAAATACGATAACCTGAGATATACGTGAGATGTGACGAATATTTTACATATATTTTGAATAATCTGTCTCCGTATAATCGCTTGAATCACCAAATTAAAGAAGGGAACTGTACGAAAATTATTTTTAGATTCACTTTAATTTTTAACCGATATGGCACAAATTATGGGATATTTCTCCGTTTCATATTCAGTTTTATGAAACGCGGCATCGTGTTAACGAGTGCTAGACATCATAGTGAATAATTGTTAACCGACACGCAGTATGCGCGTGTAGGGTGATGCAAACACTTGAGAGTGAGCGAGGTTCCTTTGTTGGCAATGCTGCCTTTGCGAGCAATACGAAAAAGTGCAGGAGGGAGAGTGCGAGAAGGGAGAGCAAGGGTTCTCTTTCGTGAATCCCTCGCGAGAAACAATAATGTCGCGCGCACTTCCACTTCTCTTGATTTCGCACACCCTCTCGTAGGTCTTTGTTAACAGACTTTTATGGCATGCGTGCCGACCTATACGTCGTCCGACTCTCGACGAGGGTGCAAAAGCTTGCGCATTGAAATAGGGAATACGAATGAATGCAAAACTCGCGAAAAAAGGAATTGTGAAGCGTGTCCTCGCATCTTTGCGACGTGTCACTCGTCAACAAATTTATTGCGCCTATCTGAGAGAATAATTTGTCGTTTTAACGGATAATAAATTTCCATTCAACGGACAACTGCTTTGTGAGATTTTTTCAATTTAACTGAGTTCTTTTCGTTTGTTTTGGCACATTGTCTTCAGCTTTCAAATTTTTAATCGGGAATAATTTAAAGCTGGATTAACTAAGAAATAATCTATAGAATGGTAGATGGTATCACATTTAGTGTGCAGTTCCTTATCAGGCCTAAACAATTCCCCAGAAAGGGACATTTATTACTTTTTTTATTTTATTACTTATATCGTTTCATTTAATATTTTACATGATAAGATTTAAAAATGTATTTAGTTGATTTATTATAATTTCAAACAATTTATATCGTTAGATTTCTTGTATTTTATTGCTATGTTTATTTTGATCTCAACACACATTTTCTAACACACATTGGCTCGTATGGAACGTTTGTGTGGGTGTAATTGCAGGAACAAAAATTACAAACATTAACATGCAATAGCACGACGAAACTTACCGGTATGTAGCCGTCGGGTTGAATCCTCTCGTTCTCTCTGAAAGTAAAAAAATGCCATTAGTTTGACGATGATAAATTTGTTCGATAATATAATTTGCATAAGTGTTGAATTATGCACACGTGACAGAATATGTTTATCATTCATAAATATCTGCCAAATCCATAGCCAATTGCCGTTACGAAACGTACCGGTTCCTTCGTTGAATCATCGGTGTTTTCGGCGTGCTGTCATGAATGATCACCTGGGTCGCGTCTATTTCTTCGCACTCCGAGCTATCTTCGGAAGAATCTGCAACGAGAGTGCGCGGCATATAGCATATACTTACGATGGATTATCCGAAAATCTTAGAACGATCTTTAGACTTATCGCGTAACGAACGCGGGAAAGTGAAAAGAACGCTCGGTTGAACGAGATCGATCAACTGAAGCATTTCAATCTTTTCGAGTATTCGCATAAAGAGGATTTTTATTATCTGCAGACCTATTCCGACTTATTCAGTCTGAGCGGCGCATCTACTTTATCCTTTCCCTTGTGCTCCTGTCAGACTCGAAAGGGAAAATTTAGTATAACAGATTTAACCTGACTCGTATTCGCTGAGCTGTATTCGATACATCGGATAATCCGGCTGATACGATGTAAGCCGGGACACGATAGCATCGATCGCTAAGTGACGTTAAATTCATTCTCGACTCACCCTCTTCGACGCGTTCCTGTTTACGAACGCGGGAGAGAACAGGGCTGTGGCACGGGACGGCTGTATCGCTGAGCACATCATCGATGTCGGTGTGTTCGCTGATGAACAACGGCAGTGTGGAGGGTCGTTTCCTTGGTGACAATCTTCGTGGTGTCGGTTGCACATTGTCGTAAGGCGAGTCCCGTCCTCCGTAATTGTCCGGCGGATCAGGTGGGTTTTCGACCTGCGCCAGAGATAAGGAACTCGAGTGTTATGTCATTTCTCTTTGTTCTTTTTTCTCGCCATTTCGTGCGAGAGCAATCGAGAAATCCCGATCAGTGGATTTTGATCTTGTCTGAACAATACTGAACTCTACTCTACTTCGCTATATTATCAGGCCTCGCGAACTTATCTTATTCGGGTTACCTGAATCTTTCGCGGATTTATCGGATTAAACGTATCGTCGATAATAGATGATACAGAGGCCGTGGGACTACATAACGGATACGATATAATGATCGTCGTTATCATCGTTCTTACCCCTTCTGGGCTCGCGCGATCTCCCAACGGCTCCTCGGGCGGTGGAGGCGGAAACTCGATAGGGAATCTGGAGAGGCTCCTCTTGACACACGTCTCAGGTTCAGGGTTAACGCCGATATCGATCTTCTCGTACGACTCGGAGGAGTCGGAAGTGCTGTTGGAAGTTTCCACGGGGATTCTGACGACCCCGTCAGGAACGTTCGAGCAACTGTCCATCCACCATGCCTTCTCGCCGGATTCGATGTGGCGGATTTTGTTAAGCGGCTTCGCGGAGTAAAGGGTCTCGTTATCGACAAAGCCATCGGGCATGTCGGCGCCTTGGCTGTCGGGAGACGCTACGGGGATGACCTCGACGCCCTCCGGGACGTTCTCGGGGTCGTCGCTCATCCACCACGCTCGCTCACCGGACTGCTGATGTCGGATACGATTTCGCCGATCGGCAGATCGGAAACTGCCCCGACTGGAGCCTCGTCTCGAGGTGGAAGATGCCGGCGATTTCTTCGCTTCCTCCGCCGAGACCTCGTCCAACCACCAGGCACGCTCTCCTGACTGTTGTCGCCAAACTTTGAACTTACATTTCCCTGTTGGATACACGAGTAAATAGAAAATAACGGAAATGTTTGAAAATATTCCTAGAGAATCACGTTTTAGAAATGATTCACGAGTTGAAATAACAAAGTTCGCAGAACGTCACTGTTTCGAAGATATTCGAAAATCAACTTACCGTCATCCGGCAAAACTGTACTGATGGTTGTATCCTGACTGGCGTCATCGTTCCAGGGACTAGTTCTTTCAATTCCCAACGGGATGTTGTCGGAATTAGAGTCTAACCACCAGGGTCTCTCTCCGGAATACTGGCGCTGAATCCTCGCGTGTCCTCTCTCTCTCATCCTGTCACTTTTGTCAGAGTTGGTGAAACTCGGAGCTTTCGAAAAACTGATAGATCTCGAAGATGACAGCGGTTGTCCTGTCTTGTTGCTGGCTTCGTAATTCTCGTCGTTGGAATCGACCCACCCGCCCGACTTGCTCGTATCACCGGAATCTTGGCTCTTGCTCTTAAAGAAATTCGTCACCGGCGCCAGCGCCCTCATCAGAAAAGACTTGGCCTCTTCTGTCTTTGCGGAACGATCACTCTTCGATCGTGGACTCGAAGGCGGTCTGGGTGGTTTCTCCGTCATCATAGGTATTTCATCGGCCGAGGACGCCAACACGCTCGTCTTGGACGAACCCGCGCTGATCTTACCTCTGGTCTCGCGCATGGGCGACTCCGATGCTCGTCTTCTTCTCCGCCTCGAACCCGGCCTGTCCACGCGTTCGTCGTTGTCCTCGCTGCTAGAGGAATTCGCGGAGGTCGACCGACTGCTGCTGCTGGAACTCGACGTTCCAGACGGCCTCTTCGTCGTTCCGCAAGGTGACTTTGACCCACTTCTCGAATCCTCCCATCTCGTTGAAGCGTTCGAGTCACTACACCTTCCTGCCATCCCATGCTTCGATCCTCCCGACGGAGCTCTCAATCTTGATCGAGCGGACTTGATCGAGGTCGAGGAGCCCGAAGAGGCGACCCGGCCAACATGTTCCGAGGTCGTCTCGGAGTCCTGCGAACTTCCGGAGATGTTCCTCTGGCCTTTCTTCCTTCTTGTATACTTAGAGCGCGACGGGTCGCCGTTCTCCATGTTCAAGGTCGACTTGCGGAAGTCCTTGTTCACGTACTTCGCTGCCACGATGCACTTCGGCGTGGCGGCGGTCGTAGTATCATTCTTCGGCACAGGTGGTTTGCCGCGAGCGTCCGGCGAACCGCCTTGCCGTAGATTCACTGACGGCGAGGGGCCCGTGCCGCCAGTTGACTTGCCGGAGGACGATGGCGGCGTCGTCGCCTTTATTTTTACACCTTGATTCGCCACCGAACTGGCTGACGACGATTTCGATCTGCCAATTGGCAGACTCGCAGAGGATGATCCGTCTGACGAGCCGGTACGCGTCATTTGACGCGGTGTGTTCGTCTTCGTCGATGCGCCCCGTGACTGCGATGTCGGTGCCGGACGACTTTGCGCGGCGCCGCTTTCCAGTAAAAAGAATCGATTACGCAAGACAATATATAAATATCCCAAAGATTTACGCGCTTACAAACTGTCTAAAATTAGTCTAGAGTTTTTCGCACGATTTAAAAATGAAACTGCGTGCTCTGCTCGCGTCGCGATCGCTTCGCTTTGGATTCTCCGCAAACTTACGAATGATATCAAACAAATATCTATTCCTCTTTTGTGTATCGAACTATCTCATCATTCATCTACTTCGTTACAATAATTACTTTATTACAAAACTAATTCACGTACCTCGACTCTTTTCTTTGCGACACGTCGTGCTTCTGAGAGATAACTTCTTCACTTTGGTCGAGTCCTTCCACGATTCGAGACTCCTCGATCCTAGAGCGGGAATTAACGTCAGGTTTGGATTCTCTCCTCTCGCACACTTCGGTCTTCGTCAAGTCAGGCTTTGAAGAACACTTGGGGATTTTCACCTCGCTCTTGGGCGAACTACGTCCGAATCGCGGAATGGACGCTCTTCTTTGGTTATTACACCCGTCACATTTCAATACGGGACTTTGCCTGTCCTTACTCCGATCTTCGCTGTGTCTCTCTCGGCAATCTTGCCCCGTCGAATCCTCTCTGCGTTGAAACGCAAGATCCTGACTGGACGTCCTGGAAATACCGGGACTCCTACTAGTCTCGGCTTTTCGTGCGTTACAGCAGCACTGCTCATTACTCTGCACTCTGTTTTTACTCGTTTCTTTATTCGCACCGCGTGTGTCTTGACCACACGTCTTCGTGTCTTCATTGGACACTGATGAGTTCTCGTTACCGGACCGGTTCGCTCCGCCGAGAACTGTCTCGTTCTGGCTTCTATTACTATGAGTTTCTTGAGTAGAGGTCAACGATTCCTTGGCAGCGAATTCGTGTCTCGTGGCTTCGTTTGTTCTATATGCGAAGCTGTTGAGTCTAGCGCTTGACGAGCTCGTATTGTTGAACCCTCTGGACGAGTACATAGACGAACCTCCAGCTGGTGGTGCGCCCGACGACGACGAGTACTTGTCCAGGTACGCCGACCAAGAAGGCGCGCCGGATACTCTGTTGCTGCCACTGAATCTCGAGAACCTCGACGTCTCGTCGCTTCGATCGCACTGTGTCTCCTTGTCGAGGGTATCCGGCAGTTCTCGGGGTCGAGCCACTTCCTTCTGATGAACGATACCGATTTCCGCCCGCCTGTTCCTCACGTAAGACGAAGAAGCCGGAGGTGTCGGCGAAGTGCCTCGAGTCACGATCGTCAGTGTCAAGAATTCATTGTCGGCGAGTCGATTGTCGCTCTTGCCGTCTTCCATTCTGTTCGCTACCTTCGGCGACTCGTGACTACCATCCTCGTTGGGCTTGGTAGCGAGCTGCCTGTATTCCTCTTCGTCTTTCGGATTAGCCGACTTGCCGCTCGAGCCTCGAAATCTGTCCGCTCCGTAGTAGTTTACGGCCGAGGGCACTCGTTCGTTGCCGCTTCGCGACGAGAGAAATCGCGAACCAGCAGCTGTCGAGCCAAATCTCGTCGAGATTGTGGCCGAGCTCGATTCGGACGTGCCTGAAAAGCGGAGCTCTTTTAAAATTAATTGTTCATCCACGCCAGATCCGACGTGTCGGGAGACGCGCATTGTGAGTTGCGCAAGTAGGAGTGCTGCTCGTTACTCGATCGAGACCTGGCATCATTAAGTGTACCGTTAGAACTTATACGCGAGATTAGATTAATAGAAGCAGATCCGAGAATTTCAGCTGGGAAACGTTATCTATGAAGTCCACATCTTTAAGTGATTGGAAACAATTACCGCAAAGAATTATCGCAAGGTCTCTCAAAATATCACAAAAACACGTAAAAAGAGGAAAAGAAGAATAGATATTTTTTTTCACGATGGACAATAAAACGATCGCACTCACTGGGCGAAGCGGCTGAGCGGCCATAAGACGGCGCTCTCGAATAGACTCTGAAGGAATTCGTTTTTCCGCCACCGGCTACTTCCGGGCTCGGCTCGCGCGATGCTCTCCCGGAATTGGGACGTAATCCTCTGTAGGAGACCGACGGTGGATGGTCCTTCTTCTCAATTCTACCGTCATTGCCATAACTTCGACCGAAACTCGATCCAGGATATGTGCTGGACCCGTAGCGCGATATTCCTTCGGGCTCTCTGCTCTTCTCCCGCGAAGCCGGCCGGTTATATCTGTCCAACACGGAAGACGGCCTCTCCGATGTTTTGCCAGCTGAGAACGAGTACTTCTCAAAGAGGGACGACTTACTGCCAGATAGCGGGCTCTTCACCCTCGTCTCCTCGGAAGACGATCTTCCGGAGTACAATCGACCCTTGTCGGTGTCTTTGGTACCTACGATCAAATCAAGGAATAGTTGCGCTCGCATTCACATCGCTGGGAACAATATAACACGTGTATGATTCTGCAACGGTTCATCTGTCAGGACTAATGTAGCGTCGTGTCCAACATTGTGCGCCGACATATAAAAGAATGATACGAAAATCAAAACGAAGGAAAAAATTGGACATAAATATTCAGGCATAAAAATTGAATTTAAATTACCGTTTTATCTTCAGATCGAACGTACAAATAATGTAAATGTTATCAGCGAAAGTTTCGGATAGATAAATATCTCACATGAATATTTAAAAGAAGGTTTCTCCTCGAGCTTGTTCTTCTTGAGAAAAGCGCCACCGAAACTTGCGAGCACCCGTTCCTTGGCGGCAGCTCGAGCGGAACTCGATCCAACTCCGGAATAGCTGCTTCTACAGCTTGGCAGGCTGCTTCCGCCGGAAGTATTCCTACCGAATGTGCTACCTATTCCGATGCTAGCTCTACTCCGATATGCTCCCGTATCGCCCTGTAAATCACAAAAGGGAGAAATTATAAAGCTCCAACTATCGATTATCTTAGTCTTTACAAACGACAGCTGACTACGAACGAGTTTCATTCAATTCAAGCGACGACAGAAACGTCGCAGTAATAATTTTTATGTAAAGTTTCAAGTCATCAAGTTCTCATCCTCAAATCTAGCATCTTTTATTTTCATCTATTTAAAATATTTTCAATAAACTGTGTCTCGAGTCTCTGCAATTTTGATATGTTAATGTCCTCGCAATATAAACCAGGAAAACTGCTTTTTGTTTCAGAAGATCTGACGAAGATGATGACTACACGGTGGATACAGATGTTGTATTTCGGGAGGATCGAGCCGACCAGGATAAGCTCGAAGGTAAGCATACAGAGTTCCGCCGTATTCTTGAGTATATTAAATTTTGCAATAAAAAACTAGAATATAGCTGTCGAAATAAAAATCGTCGAGTTTCACCGATCGCGCGCAAAAAGTTACATTCTTATATCAACGCGTATTTTTCACGTTAAACTATTAATTGTGATATGTAACCGACGATGTTATTTTTTTGTTTCAGATTCGTAGCAGAACGTGGCCGATCCTGAGTTTTCCGTGAATCTAAAAAAATGTTTATAAATATTCGAGGTGGTAGGTTTGTTTGGCATTCATTAGAGATCAATGTGATTTGCTTAGTTTGTAGATTTTTTGCATGTACAGAGAGAAAGATATAGTTAAACTCACTTGTTTTGTTACTCTAAGAGAAAAATAGTAGTTTATACGATTATTTTAACTATAATTATTCTACTTCGCAGTTACAGTCACAAGTACCGAAAATACTTTTCTCTCAATATAGAGTTTTGCATGTATGTGTTAGTGCCGTCCATTCAAGTATATATACATGATGCACTAAAGTTGTGCAACAAAGTTGTGCATCAGAAGTGCACATCAAAATGTGCGCCACCACATGCGGAATTGATTATTTACTTTGCGAGCGGTAAATTTTACAATCGTCGCGGTCGCTAATTAATATTTTTCGTACAAAACGAGTTTTAATAATATTTTCGCAAAATCATTGCTAAATTTAAAATTTATATTGTTAAAAGTCTTCTTATATATATGAAGACGAAATAAAGATCTTGTTTTTATTTTGACATGGTATAGACGTCCGCAATATTTTTGTTTTCTCTCTCAGTCTTGTCAGAAGCGCCGTTATGTTTGGCTCACGATTTTTCTACGCGTTTCACGAGCATATTGCCGAAGTGTTAAAATGTTTCGTTAATGTTTTGTCAAGCGTCGTCAAAACGATCGCAGTCGCGACACTGCAGTAAAATAAAGTGAAGTGAAATAAAACAAGTGATGTGCGACCGACGTGGAACGACTGCTGGATGCTGAGGAGATTGAATGGATACGGAGCGACGTGGTCGAGATGCAACGATAAATCTGGATGAGCCTAGACATCGTTGGATATCAATGCGAATTGGTGAGTGTGCAATTAAATGTTCACATTACGTAGCGCATGCAGTATTTAATGTAAATTGCATTGATCGCCATTAAAAATATCACAATGAAAGGGTTGTGTCGATAATAACAAGTTGCTTGATTTCGGAATCGATGGTGCTTGATAGCGCGCTTTTGCAGCTCTTTTGTTAAAGAGTCTTCCTTAAGGAGAATATACCGAGTCGAATACACAGAGTGTCTAAATTAAGATATTTGAGTCAAGTAGAACTCGTTAAACAGAGTAAAAAAAAATCCTCTCTCATTTTGTACTCCACCTTGTACGGCAATCATCGAGGCATTAACGAAAGAAAATTGCTCAATCGACGCGCGCGATACAACTACTGCCTCTAGGCGATCTCAGGAGACATGTATTGAATTTGTTTCCTGCATATCTTGAACAGTTACAAATATAAATATGCAGATGAATTTGTCTCGAGGGAACAAAAAATATATAAATCACCGGTAGACTTGTTTTTTGCTGCTTACACTGCATTATTGATGTCTTGCGTTATGCTGACAAGATCTATCGGACGTTTCTTGCGTCCGCAATAACGAAAAGATTGGACGTTAAGCCAATCAGGCACTCGCAAGAAATCAGTCTGTGGGTGTCCCAGGATATTAACGATAATAAGGATAATGAGGATAATGCATAGTCTGCGAGAAGGCACGTCTAATGAATGTCTTCATTAAAACTTGTTTGCTCGATGAGTAAAAATATATTGGAGTTCATTATCGTTCGCGAAAATACATGGAATAAATACAAATATAAATTAAGGAAATATCAATTCGACGCGCCCTGAAATTAAGAGTAAAATTCTTTTCTCCTTAGTAAGATCCGTTTAAATGATTGCTCTCAATTTTCGCGATAATATCGCTTACGTAAAATTATGATAGATTTTTCGGATATTTTGACGCTAATTTCACGTTTAAAGGAAATTTAAAATAATAAATAACTAATTAAAATGTTTGCTGTAATTATTAAAATCGTGATCGCATCTTGTGAAAATTGGATGCACGATTTCAAAGAGATAACAGGATATGCAAAGCCAGTTCTCGTTTATTACTACAGAAATGATTGGATTACAACTTCACCTTTAACATGCGCTAATAGTTCCTCGTTGTTAATCGTTTGAATGCAGGCCTAAGAATAACAGGGACAACGGATGGACAAGCGCCGAAGGGGAGCGGGGAATATTTCCGCGAAGCGTAAATCGGGCTAATGCGCGTCATCCGTGGATGCACAAAAGCGAAAAAAATGATAATTCGTATAATTAACATAAGTTTGGCGAGCCGCCCCGGAGCTCTGAAATAGACGGATCAACCTGGACGCGAGAGTAATAACCTTTGCATTTCTCTTCGTGCAACGGATGACGCAAGCAAACACTCGCGTTTACATCTCGGCCGCGAGTCTTCCTCGCAGTTTTTTTTCTATCTGATAAATACATAACAATGACAAGCGGCGCGAAGTATAGAGACTTTAATGGTTTCGGTTTCACTTTCAATTCGTCGGAAAATGACAACAACGCGCGCAAACGTACTCGCAGACTAACTTCCGCCTTGTTTACTGTGCGGAGACTTCTGAAAAAGTGTCATTCATTATTATGCTAATGGCATTCGGTGTGATAATGGAATTACGACAGTCATTTCTTAGGGCCGCCGAAGCAATCCCTTCGGGCGGAAGCAGCGGGCGACGTCGGAAACGATAAGTCCTTTCTCGCGTTATATCCAACCCCATTATCATATCCGTGCCGTTTTAAATTACGAAACGTCCAATACCACGCTTTTCCGTCTTATTCAGGCCAGAGTCTAATCGCGCTGATTGTATTGAACGGACAAATATTCCGCGATTAAATGATATCAATTGATAATTTTAGATAAAAACTGATGGGTCCTTTCTTTTTTGTGTTTTGTATACGTGTGTGTTTTGTTTTGTTTTTGAAACTTTTATCTATTTTCCTTTATTGTGCGGAAACATGAGCAGGTGTATGTAAAAAGTTTCTCTTGGGGAACACATGAAATCATTAGATATAGTTTAACGCAATATGTAATGTAATATATAGTGAAACATAAAATGAATTACATGATATGGCAGGAACAAAAATTCTGCGTATATTCATCGAGTACGACACGCACACAGTTATTCTCCGTTGTGCTTTCGTTCGCAGAATTAATTCTCCGAGAAAATGACGCGAAATTAGCCGTAAGACGCGCATTGTTCGTGATTTATTCTCGTGATTTGGCGGTCTTTGTTTTGTCGCGCTCTGATTAGGCAACCGTCTTATTGCGGCCAGATTAGACGAAGTTTAACGAACCATTAACGATCGCCTGGTGAGACTCGCTCCTCTACTTTAGTCTGATCGAACTGTCTGTGTCGCGTGGATGCCAAGCGAAACTTGGAGTTTTCCATTTGATTAAGAATTTAAAAAAATCGTCCAGACGGCGTCTTTCGCAGATGTAAATCAAGATGAGAGGAAGAGACCGAAGGGAGGCAGCTTAGGATTTTTCGTCGCCAACGCTATTCCTTAATTAAAGAGGTCGACGAATAGGGACTGGTATGGTCGGGTTTTTGTCACTCTTCCCTTTGTCCTTCCGCGTAAATACTTAATGAAGAGCTTCAAGCTCGCCGGGGAGCTGTGTTTTGCGTTTCCGCCGGTCCGTCGAGTAAGCTCGCCAAGAACATTCCCCTCGCCGGGGAATAATGAAGAACCTTCGTGAGCCGACGTGCGATCCGGCATGCCGGAAAACACCGCGCTTCCGGCAGACACGATTTTATCTCTCGAGGTTCCTTAATTTCCCCGCATCCTCCTTCTTTCGGGACAGCAGAAATCGGTCGATTGGTCGCAGGTGAGGTGAAACGGCGGCTCTCGTCGTAATCTCCGGCGATCTTTCCGTGCGGCAAAAGGGAAGCGGGAGGAACAGAAGGTAGGAATTGATACAAATGGTCCTCTCTGCTGGCGCGCGTGCCACACGTATCGATCTGCGCATGGTATCGATCGGCGATCTCTCGTGACGCGATTCTCGGGGCGAAAATCCTTCAGCTGACGCGTACCCTTTCGACAATGACGGGTCTTGTAATCGCGGCCCGCCCGATTCTTCCCCGTGACATCTCGTCGTGGCGCCAGCCTCGCCAAATTGAAAGCGACTCGATCGGGCGAATCTCCCGATATTGCTTTATCGCCCATAAAAATGGCTGTTTACGGCACCCCCGCCGCTTCCGCCACTCCGTCCGGGAACCGCCATCGGCTGCCAGATAAATCGCTCTGTTTCCGCCGCGAAAGCAATCGGCCGCGCGTGCTTCCATCGCTTCCTTTTTTACTCTGCTGCTTTTTGCGAGATACACGCGGAGCGGTAATGGAACGCCTCCGTGTTCGTAGACTTTCCCTCTTATCTCTATCGATGTGAGATCGAGAGCAGTCGCGAGAAAATGTTGCAAACGGCGCGCGCGCTCGGCTTTCTATCTCCGGTGGTCTCTTATCTTTTTATGCTAACTCGCATTGATTTCTATGTTGCTT